AATTCTTTCGTGACGAGTATGTCTATAATAAAACGAGGAAGTCGATGTTTTTGAGACGGCATTCAGTCTATCCATCTCTGGGTTGAAGTCGTAGGCTTCCGCGACCAGAGTCATGTGGGTGATCGGCGCGGCGTCACCCGGACAGCCCAGATCACCCACATCTCTGGGTTGACAGTCGAGGGCACATATTCCTCTCGCCATCTCAAACAACAGCTTAATTATGAAATCTTGCAACCAAAAATACTTATCCGTATAGTGCATCCAAACATTTGATTGCAGTACAGCGTTTATGGAGAACAGCGTGGCCACTTCTCAGCCAAGCGCTTACATGCAACACTCGCTATTAACATAAAATTTTGCCAGCTTGTTCAGCGCCTTTCAAAATCCACAAATATTGATTTTTATGTGCTAAGGAGCATTGCAAGTAGTGGTTTTGCAATAATTAGTGTTCAGACGTTTCGTGACCTACTGCCTTTTGTGGACGCGCGGAAGTCACCGCGCGCCGCCATCTGTCGTCAGGGTGCTTCGGAGGGCGTACAGGCTTGTATGCATGCATTCATGCAAGCCTAAAAAAGATGTTTACATGTTTCGGAAAGTTGTTTCTGAACACAGGTTCGGAAAGGCGAGAAGGTCAAACACGTGCGTGAATAATTAAAATATAATTATTGCAGACAAATGAGTCGCTGAGAAAAGTGTTCTTGATGTGGGAAAAATGAATAAACTTTAATTTCAGATTGCTTAGAAACTAAATTTTTACAATAATGGGTCAATCAATTGCACCGTACGCAAGTTTATTTTTTTCTTAAAAGTAGCATTGATTAACGATATCCTTACAACTGACTTCAATAGAATTATTAGGAATGCATGTTACTGTTCCCTTGAAACTAAAAAGAGACCTATGGATAAGACCTTTGCCATCAGTTGTGAAAGAACGAACATGTTGAAATATGGCAACGGTTGATAGATGATAGGAAGCACTATTGCCAATACCATAGCGAGCCGAATAATCCCGAGCCTCGTGAATTGGCAACAAAACTTTATCTGACGTCATTCAAGTACTTTCTTATCGGCCTATTGTACCCAAGTTGGCGGGTTCAAACCCGATCGAAGCCGTTGATTTTTAAGGGTAAAAAAATCCTTCGTACATCTTCCTTCGGAGGGGAAGTGAAGACGGCTGTCCCATATTAGTAGATTTACTTGCATGTAAAAGACCCTCAACCCTAAATAACGCCTCTGAGCTAAATTCAAATAGCCTGTTTCTCGCCCAAGAAATACCTCCTTTCTCTGCCAGTTGGTGAAAGGAGCGTAGCGAAATTTGCGTCGTCAGACGGATGAGCAGGCCTCATGGCCTGAGTCTCGCCACGTAAAATAAGGCATGAATTCAATTCAAAATTCAATTCAATTCAAATGCAACAGTCTTTACAAATAGCTGTAATTGTGCGTACAAACGACGTGAGAGATCTTTTAAAAAATATATTTGGTTATTTAAAAAAACAACAACAAAATTCACCGAAATGAACTTTACATCATACTAAAGAGTGCAATTATCACTATCTGTTCGAAATGTTTGAAGGAAAAGTTTTAAGCCGTTTTTGTGAAAATGGTATTTGAGCGTTTCTGAAACTGTCGAATTTTGAACTAGTTTGTATACAAAACTGCTCAGTTTTCGAGAAAATTTATATGACATTATTTAAAGCACACGTGCTCATAAATACAATTTTGTGTTGCCGCTAATATAGATATTAACGACCTGAGAGGTGTGTCCATGTCAAAGAATTACAGTTTTGTAATTTTTGACAAAACAACCGAGTAGAGCAATGCGACGTTTATGTCATCGTATAGAGTACATTCAGCAATATCCCTACCAAAAGTTTAAGGAAAAATGTGGAACCATTTTTCAAAAAAAAATTGTTTTTGTATTTTAAAAACAATTGCACATATTTTACACAATACTGCGTGAAGACTACTAAAATTTTCCCAAAAGTATATATGACCTTAATAAAAGAACTCGGTGTGCAAAATTGTATTCGAAGGAAACATATCTATCTTTAATTTTATAGTTGTAGGAAGGTACCAAAAAAATTCATACTTTTGGAATATTTGAAAATTAATAGTTAACTGAAAACATCGGTCCTATGCCACCTTTATAACTGTTTTTTACTCTATTCTTACAAGAAATTTAAAGAAAAAAATTGGAGTCACGTTTGAGAAAATTTTGAAAATGTTCGGAAGACTGCATGTAAAGTACCCCCAAATTCTGAAGACTGTTTTTCAAAATTCAAAGATTCAATTCGAGCTGGGTTGACACGGGTTTCTTCATTTTGAAAAAAAATCTTACGTATGGTTTAGGCGCTAGTAGTCTTCACAGACACCAGACGGACGGACGGACAGACAGATGGACGTAAAAAGCACCATTTCGGTATCAGGGGACTCCAAAACGTGTATTTTCATCATATTTGAAAAAATGTGTACGTGAGATGATTTGAAGATCTAATATTGAATAAAAATTTGACTTAAGAAAGAAATTTGTATAATATTATCATTCAATTAACTCAGTGTTGTTCGTACACTTCAGACGCCTAATAACAGAAGTAACGAATACACAGAAAAATTGTCAGTATAGGAAACATTCTAGTCGGCCAATTTTGCAGTATTAGTCAGTTTCAGTTCAGTTATTTGTCGCAGAATTGATCTAAATATTCCCACTTTCCAGAATAGAAAGGACCAAAGAACTTCTACTGATTCGGGTACGTGGTAGAGTACCCCAGTGATATAATCAACCTTGACAGCAACTTTAACATATTCTATAAGAACAATGTCCAGAAGAAGTACGTATTAAAAATAATGATTTTCTTAAACCAGTTTTCTTAAACCATTTATGCAACTTTTTCAATTATTCAATTTGCCGATTTTTTTAATTAAGCAGGAAACCTTAAGTTATGTACATTGTTAGCACGGAAACGATTGAATATTTGTAATATTGAAAATTAAAACTTTGTAATGAAAATGAGATTTTTACTCTGTTTCTAACTGGATCTTACAATCGTTGCAATAGCTCAGTAGCATAATTCAAGCGGTCTCTACAGCGTCGCATACCGCAAGGTCCTGAGTTCGAGTACCTACAAAGGTGGTTGTCGAGTGTAGTTACATATCTGGATCGAATTTATCAATAGTTAAATTTAATTTAACACTAGTTTAGAGCAGTTGGATGGTGTTATCCGGTTACTTCTCCTGCTTTTTCCGATAAGTAGCAGAAAAATCCTGGAGCAAAACCTTAACAAACGGTCTACAGACAGCGCACGATCTTTCCATTCTCATACTTGTTCCCTTCTTTTTGACTAACACACACACACACACACACACACAAACGTCCAATTTTACCACAAGTGATGGGAGACCAGACTGGAACATAGATGGTTTCTGGGGCATTACCACACTGAGAAAGATAGGAGGTGAAATACCAGAAGCCGAAGTGTAGATGTACGTCGGACTTACGATTTACGCAATAAAAGATTATCGCCACCTCCCAAAATGTAACATGGAGTATACTTACGGTACTAATGTTCAATGTAATTTTTTTGCCGGTGTCGGCCGCGCTCAATATTTGATTCCAAAACTGTTCAAAATTCTAAGTCGACAAGAGTATTTTATTTATAAGGTATCGTGTTACAGCGGTGCATGTAGTACACCTGCGAGACGATGGAAACAAGTTCGTTTCTCTTGAACGGTGCCTGGTAGAAGAAACGCAATGAAGAGCAGCTGAATTTAATGGTCACAACACAACTTGCTTCGAAACACCCAAATCGAGAAATGTTACTCTTGCATAGTGTTGACGGCCGACAAATTAACCAAACGCTTTAATTCTACTGGTATTTCTGCGTTCGTTAATACATTATTCACGAGTGCTGACACATTTGCACATAATTGCGCGAAGCTTTCTGGTATCCCTGTAGTGATCGAGGTATAGAAACAGAGAAGAATTGTTAATCAATAAATTAGCATGTACGATTACAAGACGCATGAGACAAACGTGAGAGTACATTTTATTATTACTCAACAGTTTGACCGAATTGGATGTGTTCATGACACCTTTATATTTTTAACAGATTAATATATTTCAAAATTAAAGATAATGAATTTTGTATAACTAACTAGTTGGATAGATGGGAGTATTCCATTTGCAAATAAATCTTTGTTTTAAAACGGCGAGACTGCCAGACGACCAGAACAATGAATTATGCGTTACATTATTAGTCCGGTATTGTGACTCGTAAATGTATTAATAATATTCTGAAGCGTTTTATAAAGGTTAATATTTTGAACTTATTTTTCTAATCTCTTGCTACAGGCAAAAATGTATTTCATTCGAAGTTTCGAACAATGATTGGGAAGATGCATTAATTCATGCGAAGATGGGCAGGCTGGACTAACGTACAGTCGTAAGTACGCCTGCATGGCGGGTCACACGCAATCAAAAGCACAAACACAAGCTCAAAGGACGGCCGGAAGGGTGACCTGAAAGGCGGTCTGAAGGACGGTCGGAAGGACGCGGTAAAGGCGGCCAGAAAAGTAGCCAGAAGGACGACCGAAAGGACGTCCGTAAGGACAGCAGGAAGGACGGCCGGAAGGACGACCGGAAAGGCGGTCAGAAAGACGGCCAGAAAAATAGCCAGAATGACGGCCGGAAGGACCACCGCAAGGACAACCGGAAAGAAAGTCGGAAGGACGGCCAGGAGGATGGCCTGAAGGACGGCCGGAAGGACCCCCACAATGACGGCCAGGAAGGACGCCAGTAATAACGGCCGGAAGGGTGGTCGGGAGAACGAACGGAAAGGCGACCAGAAGGACGGCAAAAAAAGTAGTCAGAAGGACGGCCGGAAGGATGCCAGCAATAACGACCGGAAGGACGCCCGTAAGGACGGGCGGCCAGAAGAACGTCGGAAGAATGAACGGAAAGGCGGCAAGAAGGACGGCAAAAAATAGCCAGGACGGCTGGAAGGATGCCCCCAAAGGCGGCCCAAGCAAGTAAGGACGCCCATAAGGACGGCCAGAATGGTGGCCGGCCGGCCGGCCGGTAGGATAGCCGGAAGGACGGCCAGGAGGAGGGCCAGAAGGACGGGCGGAAGGATGGCCGGAAGAGCGTCCAGAAGGAACACCGGAAGGATACCCAGACGGACGGCGGGAAGGGCGACCTGAAGGACCGCCGGAAGAACGGCTAGAAAGGTGGCAGAAGGAGGGCCTGAAGGACCGCCAGAAAGACGGCCTGAAGGACGGCCTGAAGGACGGTCGGAAGAACGTTCGGAAGGATGGCGTAAGGGATGGCCGCAACTGGCAGCCGGAATGCAGTAGAAAGACCGGCCGAGATAATATGAGGTAGGACAATCGAAATGACTTCGTTTTTTTAAAATCAGATGTCTAAAAAAATAAAAGATGTTACAATCAATTCATGAAATTATATCAATAAAATTTGTAAAATAATATGATAGATTGAAATAAAACACTATGATATATTGACATGTTTGACATACAGTAAACCGGAACCTGTACTAAACCGTGTTCTGTCTAAACAGGACCCTGAACAAGACGTAAATCTACCTTAACCAGAAGATTATTCCGACCTGTGGGGTTAAATGGCGTTTTACACAGCATAAAACCGAATCTGTGCAATGTGGAAACGGAACGGTTTTTCATGTCCTGCAGGGGAAAATGACTTCATAAAACGGAATTTCTGCGAATTTAATGGAATTGACAGAGAGGCGCAATATAGTCTTCATTAAACGAAAGCATCTTAAAGTCTGTTTTAATGTCTCTGTCCCAGAGCTATGAGTTTCGATCGTGGCAGCCGCACAGAGAAGACGAGGAGCTTTATTTGTCAGCGTGGATTTCGACCTTGGAGTCTCTCATCGCCTAGACTCCAGGGGAATCCCCTCTCTCCCTGTTCTTTGAGCAAGGGAATGTAGAGGAGCATATCTTGTTTTTATTCACGCTTCTATCTGCCCCGCGTGTACAATTCGAACTCCTCGTTCAGAACCGCATTGATCGAGGACATGCAAGGGTATTAGAGAGACATAGTACTGTGTTTTGACGGATTGTGCGTAGAAAGAGCCAGCTAGCAGTCCGAGTGCAGCCACTAGACAGTGAGGGGGCGTGTGTTTATGAATTTCACAACCAGTTTCACAATGGTTGAAAAAACAACAACATAAAACCCAAAATATCAAAATTGTTCCTCCACAGAAAACATAATTGAAAAGGTTTTAATAAGTGGGAAAACCAAATAGCAAAAACTGTAAACGAATTTGGAAAAAAATGTATTATTTTAGTATACAAGTCGTGACGATTTTCCTTGTAATTGTGAGAAATTTGTTTAATATCCATTTATTGCTGTTTTATTCTATCAATACGTTATATGTTAAATCCATGAAATTTACTAGTTTCAGGATGAATATATTAATATAACAAGGGTCATAAAATAGACAACGCTGCATGAAACGGAAACCTCCTTAAACTGATATATTTGTTGGCCCGATTGCGGTGTTGGCAGATTTTGCTGTATATGTTAACTCTGATTAATCTGTGACTAGTAAAAAAAGACTTGTGTCTTACCATTTGGCCAGATGTAAACACGTCATCTATAGACACGTAGTTTTTATATTAACCACAATTTTGATGTAAAATGAAATCTGTTTTAAATGATTTACTGAGTCTCTTTTACAAACGTAAACTTAACGTACGTCACAACTTTTTATTTTATTGTTCAATTTTATTCAATTTTTATATTTTTATGATGTTTTTCAGATTTTATTGTTTTAATATTCATAACTTGATGATAGCATCTTTTATTATCTTTTATTTGTCAATTTGAAAAAAAACCTCAGGTAGTGTTGAAGCGTTGAATGTAAATAAATTATTTGAAAAAATAGTATTGAAGTGTCTGTTTAAAAAATTGTACGAATACTTTAACAACTTATTCGAATAAGTATTACATGATGGTAAATGTTGTACCAGGCTTTATAAGCTTAAATGTCGATAAAGCTTTAGTTTGCCTTAAAATGTGGCTCACAATTTTGTTTTATCCGTGTACGAAATCTATCGGTTGCATTATCGGCACTATATCGGTTACATTGTTGTTTCGACATGTAATACAAATGCATATTACGGACAGGTTTGCTTTTTGAATTATGGAACTTTTTGAAGAGTGTATTCTCAATACTCCTTAACCTCACCACTCCACAGACCTTGTCCCTAAAAGCATCAGACCTGAAAGAAGTTATTTGTTATTCATTCAAACCATAATAATTCAAGTTAAACGTCAAACTACAAGCTATTAACCTTAGAAAGCAATAGCGATTTTTCATCCTCCCTTTTTTTTGTATTAATTTGATATTTTTACAATTTATAGTAGATTGCACCATAAAATATAAAACCAAACTAGTGAATATATTCGTCTTGTACGATAAAAAGAGAGTATAGTTTCAAAATCAAAATTCAATCCTCAATCAAAATTATGTTCTTAGAAATCAACGTATACCAATTAAAATTCTCTCTGACTCTGTGTTACGTCTTTTTATTTATTGCTTTCTGAAAAAAATCTATATTATCAATAGACACGCGTGTTTGCTGACAGTAATTGGTGATAACTGAGTTTCTCCCTTAACCCCAGAACATCCTCAAATTTACACCAAAAAATAAGGAACTAGCTTTGATAGATATGTCTTTACCACCCCATGCCGGCCGGCGGCAAGATCTCTACGAGCGTGGCTGAAGCTCGAACTTTGAAGCAAATTGAAGGCACGATTTTTGCAGTCAAAGCTGTGCCCTCCGGAGAAAGCAACGAGCTTGGATTAACTACATAGAGTGGCTGTCTCAAATGATGTCTTAAATGATGTTTTTAAGATTAATAATGTCGAGATCCCAACATTACTTTTTGCCGACGACCAGCTTATCATAGGAAAATCGTAATATGAAATTCAAATAGAAGTTCACAAGTTAAGTCAGGTTGCTAATGAGTATGGTATGAAAATCTCACCAAGTAAAACAAAAGTGATGGCATTTAAAGGACTTGAACCTTTAAGAGCAAATATAGTTATATATGACCAAATAATTGAACAAGTTAAAGAATTTAAATATCTTGAATATCATTTTAATTATATAAAATCGAGGGATATGGAAATAAAGCTGAACAACTTCACATATTTCTGCGGAACGTTACAGAGAACTCTACATCATAATGCGCAAAAGGAAACTCTTCTCATATTTTACAAAGTTATTGCTTTGCCATTACTACTTTATGGAAGTGAGAGCTGGGCATTAACATCAGATCCGCTGCGCCGAATTGAATATGCAGAAATGAGATTTCTTCGTTTTGTGGCAGGATACTCACTATTAGACCACAAAAAAAGTGTAGATATCAGAGAAGAACTAAATGTTGAACCGGTTATAGATACCATAAAGAAATATCGAGAAAACTGGAAAGGTGATGTCCTGAGAATGCCAGAACATAGAATAAGTAAAACTATTCTTCAATATGTACCTAAAGGAAAAAGAAGTGTAGGACGTCCCTTGAAGAGATGGCATGAACAATTCTGAGACGGAACAGACCAAGAGGTCTAACCCTTGCTGTCGATGATGATGAGTGACTGTCTCTATAGTTTCAGCGCTCCTGGTAGAGGCTCGCCGAACTAGTGGCCGCCACGTTTTTTGACGTCAAAACATACGAGTGGCGGTGTAACCTTCGACAATGTATTATCTGTATACACGGTCGAAGGGTGTAACCGTCCGTAACCAGTGTCTGTAACCAGCGCCAAACATAATGCTAGAATACTTTTTTCCCAGAGGGCACTGCATTGACTCCAAAAACAATGGTTTCAATTTGCGCTTCAGCCATTCTATGTAGTGTATTCTAGTTCGTTGGAAGAGTATTCTAGCATTACGTTTGCCGCTGGTTGTGGACGCTTGTTACATACGGTTACACTCTGGTTACACCGCCCCTCGTAGATTTTAACTTCAAAAACCATGGCAACCAATAGTTCGGCCAGCCTCCACCAAGAGCGATGAAAATATAGGTACAGCTCTTCTTTGTACTATATTCTCGCTCGTAAGATTTGCTCTCAAATTGAGCCCCGAGAAATCACCCATTTGGGTGGCAAGGAAGCATGGGAATTCAAATACTACCCTAAACTGACGAAGAAAATACGAGATGAACACCCGAAATTTGCTCACCTGAATTATTTAGGCCACAGAAAATAGTTTGGAAATGGAGGTTTAAAGACTACTGTATTTAAGTAATAAAATGTAAACAGTGTAAATAATTTGAAATAGATCAAAGGTTTCTCCCTGCAAGCTGCCCCTGATCTACACCCTCTGTTACACTGTTTCTAGTTCCATCTTTTTTTTGCCTTACGTTCTATGTTTGCCATATTCACATTGACTGATAGTTTTATATAATTTTGTTTAATTTTATCTATAATTTTAATCCTAATTTGGGAACAGTAGCGCTCTTGGACAACTAGCGTCTTCTTAAGATACTATGTATAGGTTGCTAGAGGTTTGAGTACGCATTACTATTGTTTTGTGTCTGAAACAGTCAACTGTATTGCCAACTTTCCGAAATTGTAACTTTTATTTGAGTAATTTTGTAAGTATAGAAATCATGTGTGTGTTTGACAGGTTAGTGTTACTATGAACATTCTAAAACATGATGATCAACATAATTTCCTCAGTATAAAGATATCCATAACATAATTAAAATGGAACATATATTTAGTAATTAGTTTATTTAATCAATTGAAGATGACGGTGATACTAGAATTGAAAATATTTCCACCTGAATAATGGAAAAAACATTGTATTATTTTTTACCCATTATGTCAACTATGCTAAAGGTTCGTATGTATTTTATTCACAAGTTCATTATAAAAAACTTGAATTGCAATATGTTTAAAATACAGAAAATGTAACCTAAAAGTTGTAAAATCACAAGTGCTTTAATGAAAAATTCAAATAGGATACATTTTCACTGTAAAAAGGTATAGTAAAGATTAATGCAAATTAATTGATATATTTGACTAATATCTGTTTTCCTCGCTATACTAAGTTGATTTAAAAGTAAATTATCAAAATAGTGCACAATAAGTGAGTGTGAAACAGAAAATATGTGAGAAATCGAATTATGAAAAGTTGAGATATAAGTAGAATTGAGTTATGATTAGTAACGAGTCTTTGCAGCAAAATTTGATACCAACATTATTGTTTTCTTGAAATTTCTGTAATACCAACCATAATAGAAGTAATTTTTAAAAACTTCGAACTTCATATTTCAATGCAAGAAATATATTTTGAGTAAGCATTTTTAGAATCAATCGGTTTATCTTGTGTTGGCAACTTATTTTTAATGTTCTATTTTAGTGACACCAAGGAAGAAACTATTAACATGGGTTCCTTAAGTACCAATGGTGAAAATGGAAGGAACACTATCACATGGCGAAGTGACAGTACTATAACGAACAATTTTGGTGAGAATGGCACTGGTATGTACTAGAAACGTTTATACTTTTTTAGTCGATATACATGATGAAATTTGCTTTGCCGGACTGTAAAGAACGCGCGACTCGAAAGGGGGTCTTGTCGCAGGGGAAGCGTCTGTCAGTACGTGAGGGGATGGGGAAGTATGGTAGGGACAGAAGGGACCTCTGGGCCGTTCCCTATTCTCCTGCAGGCGCAGGAGAGGGAGCTATGAGAACAGGGATGGCCCTGGTCATGCCAAACTGCAGTTTCACGAGGGACAATGTGTTTTACACGGGCATCGGCACCTGACGTAGCGTCCTATGGACGAGGATTTCTTCAGTAGCCATCGGACGGGACGGCGTTATCCGCTTACACGGCGGTCGGGAGAGAGGGCAAGGCGCGGCTAGCACGACTCCTGAGGGTCGGTCTGACCTAGCGGGGCGGAGGGGTGTCGGCAGGGCCTCTTAGGGCCGATATGAACCGACAGAGGGGTGCAAGGATGTCGGCAGGGCCAGTTAGGGCCGATATGAACCGACAGAGGGATGCAAGAATGTCGACAGGGCCAGTTAGGGCCGATCTAAACCAAAGGAGAAGCGAAAGATGAGTAGACACGCGCAACGAGCTCACGCGTCCCATTCTGCCTGCTCCACGCGGACGTCAGTCTGCCAGCCGTTCCTCTTCTGTTAATCGTCTGTATCTCACAGCGTTTCTGTGCTCAGGAGAGAAAACTCTTTTAATGTATATTAGATGAACTGCTGCGTTTACATCGGAAAATTTACGGTTTACGGAAGATCTTAAGATAAGTTACAACTGGAAATTTGTACATATACACTCCATGAACAATATAAGAAAACAACAAAGTATTGTTTAATGTCGTTCACATTGTCCAAAACTGATGTAAGGAGAGACTGTTACACATTATGGAACAATGGATCTCTATTCTTTGTAAACATAATGTTTAATAGATTTCTGAAAATGTAATTGAAATTTATATTTACTTAAATCTGTACATGTATGTGTTAGTGCACTTTTGTAGAGTATCATACCATCCACTAAGGCTTAAGGTAAGACTTAAAATCGTGAGGAATCACTTATAATTACAGTCACAGAATATTTTAAATACAAGGACTCATGTGTCAATTGATTGCTGAACATTGCGTTTGCTTATACTTACTCATTCCTTGCTTTCTCATCCGCGATAACCTAACTATTTGAGAACATTCAATGCTTTCGTAATTGGTCTCAATTTTCAAAAAAACGATTGGCTTAAATACAAAGATGTACACTTATAAAATCGTCTTTTTAAACCCATTACGATACATTAACATTTGACAAAGGGTTCCATAAAAAAAGAAAGTTGACCTTATATCAATGTAGAGGCATTCAGGTGAACATTTCGGCCGAGTAAAGTTCGAACTGCCAGTCAGGCTCTCGAGGGAGACTGCGATCTGCAGGTTTGCAGCCAGTTCGAGAGCCTGAGTGGCAGTGTAACACTTGCACTTTATCATTACTGTTGTTACTGTCATATTAAGGAATTGCATTATGCGGCCATTAGTGTGCCGCCCTCCGCATTACCATCCGAGAGAGGAAGCTTATAATATAATACGCTTATAATAAAGCTTATAACACTTAAATGTCATTCTCTTAAAACGAATCAATTTTTGCATCGAACATTTCCATATAGGACGAGTTTTTACACTTCTTTAACATTCTTAAAGTAATATTTGAGATCTACCATTAGGAAACCGAAAAATTGAGAAAATGTTTCCAAAAATATTCTTTGGGCGGCGATAGATGTCAGCCATCAGAAGGATGGAACCAAAAACATAGACAAAGCCTAGACCAAAGACGTTAGAAAACTAGCTATTGCGAGAAACTGTATGCTATTCCACTAATTTAAAATGTTACGCCTTTTGTGCAACTACGTCTCTTAGTCATCTTCTGGATATTGAGAGTACGTATATGTGAAGTTGTCCTCCAACGTTTAAGTTGAAGACAAAAGTTAACGAAGAACTAAAGAAGGAGGTCTCTGTTCAATTTTTGTCTAGTCACAATTAGTCCTTTCTCTTCAGCCAGGAGGTCGACTCCGTTAATAATGGGGGTTCACGTAGGGTCATCCATTCAGGAATCTGAAGTGTCTCTAATTCCTGAACTCCCGTGACGTCACGGAGCGTAGTAAAGATATTCGACTAACGAAACGTTGGTTTGTAACATTGCTGCAATCCAGAGTTTAGAAAACGGGATTCTGAAACAACTAAAATTGGTTGACTGAAACGGCAAAGTGAAATCTGAAACTTCTAGTTTTCACGCGGCATGATGCCAATTGTGTCGTAATTTCTGATGCACTTTCAATGGGAATGTAGTCGTAACACGAGCTTCGAGGATTTGCTGTTTCACATAATCCAGGGTTGTCCAACTGACGACCCGCGGTGCCATTTATTAAGGCCTGCGAGAAGTTATTAGTCGAAAGTAAAAGTTCCTTACATCAAGTTCGAAGTTCGATTAGTCGAAAGTAAAAGTTCCTTACAAAAAAATCAGAAACTACACAAGCAAGTGAATGCTTCTTCTTTCCGTATCTCTTGCCTTGGGTACGGGCACGGTATGGGTACGGGTCCGAACCCAGTAAATCCAAAATTTTGGATAATTAATAAAACAAATTTGGAATGGAAGAACAAATAACAATGTAATAATAACTAAATTATGAATAGTGTAAAGACAGGATTTTATAATTACTGAAGAACTAAACAAGTAATTATTAAAACACAAGTAGTCGAAATGAAATGTTTATTGCAATGGTACCTAGGGTGTATATTAGTTGTTTATGTAGCAGTAATTTTCACTTAGAGTAACTCACAAAATCAGTAATTTTCTTTTGCCGAAAGGAGTTGATCCGCTTGACGACGGGATGTGATGACGCGATCGCTACGCTACGTTGCCATTTTCTCACATCGCACGCTTTGTTGCATTGTCTGGTAATCTTATAGATGTATTTGTGTATATGGTCGGTATCTTTTTTCGGATAATTCCAACATTTCCGAATCCGACCAGACCACGCTCTAAATTAGTTCAGACTACCGGGGTTCTACTGTAGTGTTCTTCGCAGTTGGAAAGTTGGTAATATGCGTTGGTGTCCCGCAGGCGAAGGCGAAGACGAAGGCGAAGGCGGGGCCGGCCGACGCAGCGACGCGAGAGGCTCCGTGGCGAGCGGGGATGGCGGCGGGGGCGGCGGCGGGGGCGGGGGCGGAGGCGGTGGGAGCTGCGAGGAGGCGGGGGGCGGAGACGAGAACGACGAGCTCATGTCGTCCGCGCTGCAGTCCATCGCGCAGGCTCTCACCCAGATGCAGGAGGCCATGCGCGCCATGAGCAACAAGATGGAGAAGACGGACGACTGCGTCCGCTGCGTGGCCGACAGGCTCAAGTCGCACGTACGACCTGCCACGCCACGCCACGCCACGCCACGCAACGCCACTCCACAACACCCACCCCATATGTACACCCCATGCGAGTAGGAATACTACAGAATATACAGAATAGAAAGTAAACAGACGGGGAACCCCCGGGCATTACGCGTTTCAATTCATGCGCAGCCATTCTCAATCCAAATAAATTGCTGTTGTTTGTGGCTGCCGCTGATGCTGTTTCAGCTGTGTTCATACCCTGTTTCTATTGCGAGGGATTTTTGCATTTTTGGTTTCTATAATGAAGTGTTTATTAATCAGTGGTTGCTCAATGTAAAATTTAATTCGTTTTCTGCATTAAATTTGAAACTATATTGGTGCGTAATGAGTGTAAATGAGAAGAAAGTTAGCTGGTGGTGTTGAGCACCAAATTGTAAAAATAATTCGAACGCTAATAACGACGTTCCAAAAGTGAAGGAACGGAAAGTTATTGACAAAGCTTCAAACTAGTGAAATGAGTGAGAACAGTGAAATTAGTTTCATGGAGGTAGACAATTCTCTACCTGTTCCTATGTAGAAGCCTCGTCAATACTCTGTATCAAGATGGCGGCCAACGCAACCTCGTCGCTTCTCGAAACTCGAAGGAAACACCATCTAATTTCCCTTCTGTATACTTTCTATTATGATACGACCCCGTCCATCTCCTCCCGAAAACTTATGTATTACGAAGGTGTTCAGTAGGAGGCAGAAAGCGCGCGACTGCCACAGCCCCGCACCCTGGAGACACCCGCCGCGCGGACAAGCGATCACTCTCGTTAGCCGCTTGCGCCATACCGCCACCGAAAAGATCTCGCATGTCATTAGCCGAGTAAAAGGGCATTCAGAGAATGGATCGCGATTGAACAGTGCAGGAGGGCTCTAAGGCTGAGATACGTAGACAGGGGACAATATAGAATCAAGTAAAGAGATAGCACGAACTCGGGAGAAGGCTCTCAAGGAATTAGTAAAGAAAAATGTTCGAAGCTAACACCTGGAAATAATTGACCTTTTTAAATTCAAATAAAGATATACAAAGTTTCAGTTCAATTTATTAATTCATTTAGCTGTAATCTGTATATTAATCATATCAATAAATGTGGACAAATTCTATTTAATTTTGTCATCATCGGATATAGTGGACCAAAAATGTTATACCTCAGAAGTTCACTATAACCGGAGTCGACTGTACCACACTTCCGGTGGGTACAGTCGACCATGTGAGCCAGCCCGGAACCTAATCAACGACTGCCTTTGTGCGCGCGCAGGGCCAGACGGTGGAGCGGCTGAGCAACCGCATGTGCGGGCTGGAGAACAAGGCTGCGACGCCGGGGCGGGCACCTTCGTCGGGGCGCTGCCGCTCGGGCCCGGCGTCGGAGGGCGTGTGCCCGCCGGCGTCGCTGCGNNNCGCCGCCACGACCTGCTGCGACGACCGCGCCGCCTTCCTCGGCCGTCACCTGCTGCGCGCCGCGCAGAACGGAAGCCGCAGGTGAGGCACGGGAGAGAGCGTAGACAACCGTGGTTAGGCGCGGCGCGGCCCGGCCCGGCCCGGCTCGGCTCGGTCCGACTCGGTTTGGTTCGGCTCCATTCGACAACGCTCGGCTCTGCCCTGCTCGGCTCGGGAGATACTGGGCTGACGTGGAGGCGTGTCTAAACAGGTACGGGTGCCGGCGATTCGGTCGTCAAACTGCGACCATCTAGCAGCGATCTTTCCCGAGGCCATCTAGCAACGATCTTTCTCACAGCCGCCAATCTTCCACCCTCCTCGCCGCCATCATACTGCGACCTTTCCCACCACAAAAATTGCGCGATCTTTCTCACAGCCGCCATTCTTCGATCTTCCTTGTCACCATCTTACTGCGACTTTTCTCACTACTTTTCTCATTCCGCGATCTTCTTCTCAGCTGTCATTGTGCGACCTTCCCACGGCGCAACATTCTGTCGACACAGTTAGGAACTACACACATTTTTAACAAATGTTATGCAGAGTCTCGATTATATTTTTACGGTTCAATTCACGTGATTGCTTGCTAACGTTTCCCGTTATGTAATACGGAAATTTCCTAATAACGTGACATTTAAAGTTTCGATCTTATAACGGTTGAGGTAATAAGAAGGGATGAGACATTGAGAAGAAGAAGAAGACGAAGAAGAAGAAAGGGATATAAGGGGAAGATATAGATATGGAATGGAAATAGAGAGATTGAGTATAAAAAGGGGGGATAAAATCGGAAGAGAGAGAGAGAGAGAGAGAGAGAGAGAGAGAGAGAGAGAGAGAGAGAGAGAAGAAGAAGAGGAGAAGAAAGAGGGAGACGTGGAAGAAAGCCGTGAAAGGACAGAAAGGGGAAGAAAGGCCATATTTGCAGCTGACTAACTTCAGCGATTTCCTGAGGCGACGCATCACTTGGAGTACTGCGGTGATTAGTGTGTTAAGAGGTTGAGGGGAATGCAGGGTGGCTTGCTTAAAGAAAGATCATGTTGGAATTTACTGCACCCTTGAAAGAGGGAGGAGAGAGAGTCAGAGATAGAGGAAGAGAGAGAGGAAGAGAGAGAATAAGAGAGATAGTAAGAGAGAGGAAGAGTGTGTGTGTGTGTGTGTGTGTGTGTGTGTGTGTGTGAGAGAGAGAGAGAGAGAGAGAGAGAGAGAGAGAGAGAGAGAGAGATGGCGATGTGTCAGCTGGTAGGAAGATGCACGGGAGGAAGAAGCTCAACGTTTTAGAAACGGTGGCAATTTCCTCCATCACTTCGTGGTTTAGGCACTCCTCCAGGGGCAGCGGCGGAGCTCTGCGAGCCTTTCATTTTCCGTGGTTAGTGGCGTACCGTTCTCGGCTCCCTCACGTCAGCCTCACTTCTCATCTGCCTGCTGGCTCCGCCGGGCCCGTATACATGGCCCATGGAGACTTGCTTTCATTTGCCAGCGCTTTTTAGATTTCTCTCGCCTTGGGAGTGCGCGCACGGTGCGATGGCTTGCCCCAAAGGGCAGGGGGAGTGAGGGAGGGGGCAATAAGATGGAAAGGAGGGCAAAAGGGGGGGGGGACGGAGCAGCCACAGGGGCAGCGTGGCGTGGCGTGGCGCGTGCCGCAGGTGCGTGAAGCGGCTGCTGGCGGCGGGCGCGGACGTCAACTTCTGCTACGGCTCCAAGTGGACGCCGCTGCACCTGGCGGCGGCCAAGGGCCGCGCGCGCGTCTTGGCCACGCTGCTGCGCCGCTGCGCCGACGTGCACGCCAGGAACTGCTACGGCTTCTCGGCGCTGCACATCGCCGCCTACCACGACTACAGCGGGCGCTGCGCCGCCGCGCTGCTGGCCGCGGGCGCCGACCCCGACGCTCGCAACCGCTCGGGCCGCACGCCGCTGCACTACGCGGCCGAGGCCGGCAACGTGCAGGCGGCGCGCGCGCTGCGCAACGCGGGTGCGTGACCGCCCCCCCCCCCTTCACCCGCCTTGCTACCCGGCACTTGCTCCAGACGCGTCAACTGCTCTGGCCATCACAAGGGGCGGATTGTGTTGACCCAAAATATGGATAAAAATTATCTTAAACGTCTCTTAAGTGCTCTAAAAGTTTCTTAAACGCTCTTGAAATCGTTTTAAAATGCAGTAAAACCAAATTAAAATGACGTAAAAATTTGATAAATCAGTTCCTCGCCCCTTTTTTGCCCCCTCTGCCTATTTTGTCTCATATCCTCTTTTCTATCCTTTTCCCCCCTCCTCCTTTTCATCTTTCTGCCCCTCTCCCTCTCTCTGTCCCTTGTGGCTAGCCGCCATTACAACATCGCACCGAGCTCTTGAATGTTATACTGATGTAATCGATACTGATGCTTCCTTTTATTTAATTCAAGTGAGCTCAGATTGCTAACTTTTGGTTCGGACAGGGTTTTTTTTATCGGGAAATCTGTTTTTAGTTGTCATGAAATCAGCCGAACTGACAATGACGTTGACACGCGCCACAGGAACCTTAGATAACAAACTCACAACGGCTGACTTTAGAATTTCTCAACGAAGAAATCGAATAGGCTAATCAGGAATTTTGTGGAGAACTATTCTTGCATCGCGTAAATATTAGTTAATGGATGTACTATTAGTACTATTAAAATGTTATTAAAACCGATTAAATCCGCACAAAATGCTTTATAAATGACGGAGAAAGGTAAAAAGTCACTTAATAGTCGAAATCGATTAAAAATAAAACACATGCCATATAAACATGGGCCATTTCTTTTTGTCATAACATTATATTATTGTCTATACTAAACCGCATTGTTCTAAAATGAAAAAAACAACATTTCATCAAAGTCCCCCACAATCATTAACCCGTAAGTTTAGTGCATGTTATATCCCGAACATTTTTCGCGTATCCTCCTCCAGCGGAAATGTTATACGGCGCCGACCGACACGCCCGCTTGCCGGGTTTTCCTCCAAGGATATCTGCCCCCTCCCAGCCTCGGATAAGCTCTATGCTCAAGACCGGGCCCTATGTGTGCAGTCGTGAGAAGCTCCCGGCTGCGTCCCGTGACATTAACAGTCGCTTACACTGAAAAACAAATTTTAAAAATTCACGGATGTCTTGGTATCTAACACTTGTTCTAAGATACGCAAAATGTGCTGTTTCAGATTATGCAAACCATTTGTCGCAGTCATCCACCATTTTTTAAAATATACTCATGCAACCATTTACATTTCGATAGAAACAAATTGTTAATGTAGTACTAATAATGTGGAATTAACTGAAAAAATAGTGAGATTGAATCACGTGACAAGCATACTACATTTAGCGATGAACGTACAGGGCGAAATCTCATACAAAGAAGTTACACGTGTGACAACTGCCCGTGATTGCCGGAGAAACATACCATGCACAAATATTCAAAAACGATATTTCGAATCCGTGACTAACATCAATGTAAAATATGAGTTCCACGACAAATGTGGCCAAATATTATATTAAATATGTAACTCCATTATATGACATTTTCCACCATTGGTAATTTGTCAAAAAGGTATAGTCTTCGACCACCTTACAATATTCTAGAAGTTTGTAACATTTCGCACGTCATCTAGAAAATTGGTGCTAGGGCGTTTGAAGATTTACTTCAAGGCCCTACGAACTGCAGCAATCATGAGTTCCGTCGAGCCATATTTCTCGCATTACAGTTAAGGCAGTTTTTTAATTATAAGGTATTAATAGTAGAAGATGATGATACACTTATCTAAAAATCTTTTGTGGATAATTACAGTTTTAGTGGACGTGCTATTTCTTTAAAACATTCTTTATGTCCCATTTCCCCCTCTTCATCCTCCTTCCCTCACTTTGTCCCACTTGTCCCAATTTGACCTTTTGGTCCTTCCGCGCACTGCGATTGTTATCTACAACGGAACCAAGACTCTGTTTCAACAACCCTTGCTGTACAGAACATCGAGAGAAACGACATCATTATTGACGCATCAATGTGTGAAATGTTTAATAACCAGAAATAACAAAAAACATTGTATGTAACACGTCCTCTTTTAGTCTTTAAGGACTTGGAATCGTCCTCGAAGAGTAATTTAGAGAATATAACTCCAGACCTAAGGACTGTTTTGTTAATTACACAAGTATTCCAATAAAGTTCCTTATATATTATAGACAGTCAAGTTTATCACTAAAACATATTAATGTTCACAATTCATCACAGGATTTCAACAACATCGTGGCTGTTTATAATACTCGTACATATGGAGCTTTATTTGAATACTTGACTAATTCAGAGAACTTGTTAGATAAATAACTATGGTCGTTTGCCGTGTGGTGCGCAGGCGCGTGCATGTGCGCCAAGGACGACGAGGGCCACACGCCGTACGACGTGGCGCAGACGGTGAGCGTGCGCCGCCTGCTGCGCCCCTGCAGCCGCGGACTGCGCAAGCACCCCGCCGCGTGCCACGGCGCCGCCGCCCCCGCGCAGTGCCTTGGCTGAACCGACGGACGTTGAAGCGCACTTCGCCGCGGCTAGGCCTTAGCTAAGCGCACGTTCGGTGAAGCGCGCGCGGACAGAGCTCGGCCCGGCTCGGTTCGGCTCGGCTCGGCTCGGCTCAGCTCGGCTCGGCTCTGCTCGGCTCGGCTCGGCTCAGCTCGGCTCGGCTCGGCTCGGCTCAGCTCGGCTCAGCTCGGCTTGGCTCGGCTCGGCTCGGCTCGGGAGATACGTGGCTGTCGTGGAGGCGTCTCTTGAAGGGCACGGTTGCCGGCGATTCCGTGACCTTTCCCGAGGCCATCTAGCTGCGATCTTTCTCACAGCCTCCATTCTTCGACCTTCCTCCCCGTCAGCTTACTCTGACCTTTCTCACAACTGTAATTGTGCGATCTTCTTCACAACCGCCATCTTACTAGAACCTTTTTCACAACTGCCATTGCGCGATCTTCTCACAACCGTCATTCTTCGATATTCCTTGCCATCATCTTAATGCGACTTTTCTCGCTACTTTCATTCCGCGATCTCCTTCACACTCGTTATTGTGTGACCTTTCTCACGGCACAACATTCAGTCGTCCCAAGAACTACAGGCTCGGCAAAGTTAAACCAATTGGCGACGAAGCACTCTTCCATGTAGCTGTGCCTTGGATGAGCACACGTACTGCAAAGCACGCTGGGATAACCTTCAGCAGAGTTGCACAAATGGGACTTACACGCAGCTCTGTCTCTGAGGAGCACACGTACCGAGCATTTCGCTCTCATAAATGCCACTAGACTCGGCTGCATTTGAACCAATGGCGCACTTGAACAAAGTCAAATCAAATTCAACTTAAACACAGTTGTACATGGCACACTTCGACGGAGCTGTACCTAAGGTGAGCACACGAGCACGTGATGTTTAAGGTGGTAAGGTGTGCTCGAATAAACGACAGCATGTTCATGCACACTTGAACTAATGGGCGAAGCAGCACACATTCCCGGAGTTATGCTTCGGCGAAGCACACGTACGGTGAAGCGCGCTCCGATAAACGACTGCAGGATCGCCCACGGGCGACGAAACACACTTCGACCGACTGTCCCTCGGATGAACAGCAGACAGAGAAGCATACTTCTGTGAAGCCTATAACTTGGATGCATTGTTCTCGATTGATGTGGCACGTGTAATATACGGCACACCCTCCTGCGATAAGAGAACAGCAAAATATTTGTCGGATGAACTATTTAAATGCAACATATTTCAGTTTGTTGAAGAAAACAGTTCATGTGTCTCAGAAGATCCCTTGACTTGACCCTCACTCTTCGAGGGGCAGCCAACCGTGTCAAGGGGGGGATGCTTTTCGTTAGGGAGCTGTGCCTCGCATGACCTCTTCACGACATTTCCTCACAAGCTGTACTTCGAATGAGCCAACAGACGGCGCAGCACACCCCATTGCGCAGTACCTTTCCAAGTGAACGCAATCCACATACTTCAGGTGATCTCTTGATGACGTAGCACTTCGTTGGGGCAGCGAACTCATCGGCAGCCCAGCACACGTTCATCAGGAGAACTACCAAGTCCACAAGAGAGAAATGACTTAACAATCAGCGCCGGATTCTTCAATGAAGAGGACCAACGGGCGTCCCTAATTATTGGTGCTTCGTATGCTGTGTCGGGGCGAGCAGACCACTACACGTGCTTCATACGTGCTTTCAAACGACGCAACACATTTGGATGAGGGACAGCAACAGGTGTGTTTGCGAGGGTTGCAACGCACTTTGATGGCTCTCCGGCCCTTCGCTAGCTCACCGATTCTCGATGTCTTTTGTGCCCCAGGTGACCTCACAGAGGCAGTATAATTTTGTGCAGCAGCTCGCAGTATTTTGATTGCTATTTACTCGGTCAGTGTCAATTGTTTGGAGTGAGTTCACGGATCTTCATTGTGGGACAGCGTTTCTCCAAACTCGGGTATACACCACATCAAATTTGTCACCATTTAAAAGACGTGTAAGATATTGAATGCAAATGCGAGGGGGGAATGATCACATCTTGGAAACAGAAAATGACCGCTTTGTCAGATTTAAACATCACTACGTCAGGATGAAGGATGGGTGCGTCATGTGTGTGTTGATATTGCAGAAAATAGAATACGACACGAAACATCTGAAGATTTGGGTAGCACAAGAGGAAAGTTTGTTGAAAATGATAGATGGAGTATCTATTGTCTGATAATATGCATTTTCTTCTAAAACACCTCCGCAATGTTATACTATTGTTTTATATGAAATACCTGTTTCACATAAACCAAGGCGTAATCGAACTGTTTTACTTATTTAGTATTCTAAGGAAGTACATTTACTTAACTCTGAGCCGAACATACTCTGTGCTATCTATGTGGTAAACGCGAAACTTAAGTTCATTTCTTAGAAGAAGGTTATTCTCACAAATTACTGGTATCCTCTGTACGACTATACTAAACTGCTTTGCATCAGTTGCATCAATTGCATCAACTGCATCAATTTGTTCTCCCCAGAATTTCGAGAATAGATAGAAATGTAATAACTCGTCCATCATTCCAATGACTCCAACCATTTCGATACTTGGATTCTAAAGAATGATGATAATGGAACTACTCATTGCGAAGAGTTTTTTTACATGTAGCCATCTCAGTTTCAGTCATGATATGGGTACACGTGATACATGCTTAAGATGTTGGATTCATGGTTTACTTCTCAGAAACATCACGTTCTTCAGTTTTGGCAAGACTGTTGTTTACATTCAGTCTACATTTCCTATAAAATAACTGTCAAATAACAACACAACAATGTATTAAATTAATTTGCAAATAAAAATTTACGGATGTTGTATATTCCTTCTTTCTTCATTAATACTTTAAGTACATCCACAATATTCTACGATTATTTTAGAGATTTTATTTCCATATCCACCGTAACTTTCATGTAGTTCCGAAGTTTTTAATAACATTAATGTTGCGAAGAGAATAATTAAAAAATAAAAATTAAAATGAAAATCTGGAAAACAGGTGGAGAACCTTTTCATTATGTTACACGCGAAACGTGATTGCTCATATCGTTCGTGGTTGTGAAGGCAACAAATACTACATAGTTCGTGATTATATGCTCTTCGTAGTGTAAAAGTGTCAGTAGGTAATAGTTTTATTTATTTAACGGTAAAATATGTGTTACCTACGACAGGGAAAAGTTCCACGGTTTTATGAGCACTTGGATCTCTTCTTTCAATCATGTACAGTACGTATTAAGTATAATTAAAAATACAGAAACATCGAGGGTTTTGGAAAGAATTGTTAAGAACATTCGGACTCGACTTTTTGCTGCGGGAAAATGGAGAACGATTATTTGATAAATATGTTCTCCACAGTGCTAAAAACCGTGCACTGATAGGGACGTTACATTTATGTTCAGAAGCAAAAGAAGATCCATTTCAACACTTCCTCAAAGGATCAGGAAAGCTAAGATTATTTTCGTCTTTTCTTAATATCCTTGAGCTACAGAACAAAATTATATGAATCCCAGGGGAAGATTCGCTTTCTGTTTTCTGAGGAGATCAAGTGCCTTAAAAATGCTAAATTTATATTTGTTCTATTATTTATTTATTTATTTATTTATTTATTTATTTATTTATTTATTTATTTATTTATTTATTTATTGATTGATTGATTGATTGATTGATTGATTGATTGATTGATTGATTGATTGATTTACTTACTTTCAAATTCCACTATTGATGTAGCCATTTGAAATCTGTAAAACATAGGTAATTGTAATTCCAGACTAAGTGAAGTACCCAGAGCTCAATTAAATCGATCGGTGAATATCAGTTTTGGAGAAACTCTGCTGAACAGTGTAGGCGCTAGCATTGACCACGGACGGTCGGTCACACAGACAGTTTCGCCGTTAATCGATTTTTAGTTTCCCGTTTACATACGTATATACGGAGTATAGGAAAAGATATGTAATGCTGCGCGAAAAAAAGCCGGATTTTCTGCGGAAAAAATCATAGCCGCACCATAATAACGAAAAAGTGGATAAAACCTAAATTAAGAAAAAAAATCTCGAACACGCACTGCAGCCAGAAACTTTGTTTTGTGGATCCTTGATACAGAAAAATCAATTGACGGCAAAACGTCCGTCTGTCCATCCGTGAACACTACTAGTGTCTAAAGCATGCATAGGATTTTTTCCAAATTTGAAGAAACTCTGGTCCATCTGGCTGGAGTAGAAGATTTCAGATTTTGAAAAACATTCTTTAATATTTGGGGATACTTTAAGTGACAGTTTCAAAATTTTCTCCCCGGACAATTTCAAAATTTTCTCAAAAACATCTCCAAATGTTTTCTTTAAATTTCTTGTAAGAATGGAGTAACATACACTTACGAAAGTGGCACAGGTCCCATTTTCACGGTTAACTCGGAATTTTCGAAAATTTCAAAAGTATAATATTTGTCGACGTCTTCCTTCAACTACAAAATCGAAGATACGCGTTATTCCTTTAAATTAAATTTGTTGACCACAATTTGTTCGTTCATTCAGGTCATGTACATTTTTGAAACTTTTAGTAGTTTTCGTGCCATATTGCAAGATCTTCTCAAAAACGGCTTAAAATGTTTACTTAACCTTTTGATAGGAATAGTGCAAAATTCACTTTATATGATGACATACACACCATACTGCTATATTCTTTCGTATTTTCAAAAAATACCACCATATAATTTTTTGACGAATTTCCCAAGTCGATAATATTTATACTAGCAGAGATTTGTCGACATTACTATATTTATGAGTACATGTGCTTTAAATAATGTCGTATGACGTTTTTAAAATTCAACCATTTTTAGAGGATACTAGCTCAAAATTTTGCAATATCAGATACGCTTAAACGACATTTTCGTAAAAAGAGCTCCAAATTTTGTGTTGAAACTTTTTGGAGGGATAGTGCTAATTGAACTGTTTAATATGACATTTTGGTGTTTTTTTTCTAAAATATACAAA